GGCGGGGGGGGGGGGGGCAGTGTTTAGCAGGTGAGCAGCAGCAGCCCCTCCTCCTGGGCAGGGAGCTGGACTAGGTGACCTCCAAGATCTCTTCCCACCTTTATATTCTATGCGTCTGTGATTGTATGAGTGAGTCTAAGAAGGCTGAGGCTGCTGGGGGAAGTGCAGGCGGCCGATTTGGGACTGAGCTTGTGGAGCGTGTGATGGAAACGCAACCACGATAGGAAGTGGCTACACCCCATTCTGCATCCTTACGTTGCCTCTTCTTTTTAATTAATTTTTTAATTAATTTTTTTTAATTACAAAAAAAGGGGGGAAAAAACAAAAAACCTCTTGGCCTCTCCTGCTTTCAAAAACTCTTCTGAAACTTTCCTCTGTCCGGGGAGACAAACAGCGCACGACTGTTAGGCGCCTCTTGGCCTGTCCGTCTCTCCAAACGTTCCCAGGCCGAGCAGCTGGAAGATTCGAGTGCTGCGGATACGAAGGGAACTCCCCCCCCCCAAATTTGGAGAGAGCCTCATGCTCGGGGGCCTTTCTGCTGGCAAGGGGAACGCCTGCCAAAGGAGAAAAGTTTCTCCAGAAAGTATCTCAGGCAGACGGGCACTGGCGGATCCCAAGGGAAGCTACATTTCCGCAAATGCCAAAAAGTTACCGTGAACGCAATCCTGTCCCTCCAAGGCCGAACTGCCAACATGCTAGTGCACCCCCTGTCCTCCCTTGTGGATGGCCATCCGTGGCTGCGGGCCAAAGACCTGCACCGCCTTGCATGAGTGCCTGGTGCTTGTGGGGAGTGGGCCGTGGCTGGGGGCCAGGAGGAGGGCGTGCTGGGAGAGCAGCAGCAGAATTGCCCTCCCCTCTGCATCCCATGCCAGAGCAGGATGAAGCCCGGGTGCCATGGCTGCCCCCTTGCCTCACCTGCAGGATGCAGAAAAACCCCTCCCTCCTTCTCCATCGAGGCTGCTGTGGACAGCTGACCGCTGGATCACCCCGATCTAAACTGCCATGAGATTTTCTGGCCTTACTGGAGGCAGTCAAGACCGGGTAACTGAGCAAGCAACCAGCCGCTGGCTGGAGGACATCCTACGCTTCTTGCACAAGTCGGGTCACTTTAATTAAAGTGGGAAGCTCTAAAATTATAGGTCTCTGGCTTGCTCAGAGATGTCTGCTCCTTTGCGGTCAAGGGTGGGTCTCCTGTAGGCAGAAGAGGCCACTCGGGAGGCCTCCAGCTCGGACCATCTCTGACAGCAGAGTTGAGGTCCCTGCAAGTGTGAATTTAAGATTGTCGCCCTCTGTTTGTGCTCTCGTGGCTTTGGAGGGCTCGCTGGGTTGAGTTCCAGGTTGGATCTCCTGCATTTCGTGGTCGTTCAGCTCCCTTTCCGGATCCACGCATGTCTGGACTACCTGTCCCATCATCCCAGCCTTTGGAGATGTTTAAACAGACTGTGCACTGGTTTGGCTAGAACTAAACACTAGAAACTAAACACTAGAAAAATGGGGGTTTCTCCCTGAGGACAAGGATATTTATTGTGAATGTGGCACTATTCAAACAACTATCCATCTTTTACAGCGCCCCTTGGCACCGACATGCACACAGAATGACTTGCTGGCCGGAAATATTTTTGCCATCAATGTGGCCCGGCATTGGGCAAGACTTATATAAATCTATACTTTTATTAAAGTTTTTATTTTTTTAGAATAATATTTTTTTAAAAAATTAGATTAACAATTTTCCCTTTCCCAGTTCCTGCATTTCTGACACGAGATGAGACGAGATCCCAGCCTGTGTGCTGGATGACAGGACAATCCTCCAGATGCTCGGACAACCTCAATTTAAGGAGAGCTGTTAAAAGGAACCCTTGAGCAAGGGGACTCTTATTTTTAGGGGCAGATGTAATAAATTTGGGGCACAGATAACTATGGTTCCCCAGTGCTGCTGGGGTGGCTTGGGGAGCCAAGCAAAGGAGGTCATCAAACCTACATTGCTTCGTAATGGGGTGCTTTTCTGAACATGTAATATTGCACGGTTAAATTTCGGGGGAGCCAACTGAAGGAGTGAAATTAAGGGTCCATGAAATTAGCAGGGCTGAAATGTTACCCAAAAGTCTCAGATTGCTCATCCCAGCTTCAGCAGCACCCACAAGGGGTGATGGTGAAAAAAGCATATTTAAAAAGAAAAAGTCTGGAACAACATACTATTGAGAGACAGTGTCCCCAGCTTTATTTTTAACATGCTAGTTGCAATTTCATCAGTTTGTGAATTAACCCATTTTCTGGGAGGAGACGAGACTCATCATCACCATCCCTGAGTTCTCGGCTCCCCCTAGTGGATATCCGCCGCCACTGCGGGCGAGGCAACATGCGCTCTGCCCCCGGAGCTTTCTCATTGGTTGTCTGTTCTCGCCCCCTCGACCTGGATTGGACGAAGCTCATGTCCGTATCTGGCAGGAGGCAAGATGGCGGCTGTAAGAGGGGCGGGGGAGGTTGTTTGTCTGAGGGTTGCCCTGTTTTCACGTGTCTTTAGCTGAAGGAGGGGGGAGCGTTGTAGCCCCCCCTCAAGAGCGATTAGGGGTAGAGCAGCAGGGGCTTAGGATCCTGGAAAGTGGGCTTGTGTTGTTGCTCCCATAGGGTGGGACTGCCACCCCCATCCTCCACAGCCAGCATGGACCAAGGAGGGGAGTTGGAGCCCGACCTGTCTGCAGAGCTCAGCATGGAGGAAGGTAGAAGGCAGAGCCTCTCGTGACCGAGCGTGGCTTTTGGTGGTGCCATTTATTTTAGTATGGAAATGCTTTTTTGCATCCCAGGATTTTTTTTACTTCCCTTAGGGTTTCCTTGTGGTCTCCCATCCAAGTCACAAACCTGTCTTGGCTCTGCGTAGCTCCTGAGCCAGCTAAGGATGCTCAAGGGCTGCTTGAGCTTAATCTGCTGCCCATTCTGCAGGAGAAATGGGTATCGTGGGTGTAATATTTATATATATGTGTGTGTGTTATACACACACACACACACACACACACAC